ATATGATAATTTTAACTTTAGATATATCTATTATCTTCTCACTTACATCATTTTAATTTTAGTTGTGTATAATAATACTATAATTATAACACCGCAATGCGCATTTGCATTTTTATTATTTAACATTATAATATATATATATGTTTCATTGTTAGGTGTCGTTGCGACATTAGATAAATCGATCGATCGAATAGTCGATGCTCTAAATAGAAAAGATATGTTAAAGAATATGATCATAATTTTTATGTCCAATAATGGAGAGCCGACTAAAAGACGCTTGACAAATTTTGGATCCAATTATCCATTACGGGAGATAAATGCAGCTTTGTTCAAATAAATATTATTAATCAATGATTCGCGATCAAGACAAAGAAAACTGGCGGACGGAAATCCGTTATCACAAATACCAGAATTTTGATAAAAATGCAGTATTAATTGGACATTATAAACTTGTTAAAAGTACAGTAAATCTTTTTATTGCTAAATTTAATATTATTATAAATTTTCTTTCTCTCTCTCTCTCTCTCTCTCTCTCTCTCTCTCTCTCTCTTTCTCTCAAGTCTTTGATTTCATCAAGAATTCAGTTTAAGAATAAATGATTAATAGAAAAATAAATTATGATCTTTTTCATACAGATAAGTTCGAATATCAGAAGTATTATATTTATAACAATGATAGTGATCCGTCATATCCTAAATACAACATGACAAATGTATTAGAATTACCAGCCGCATTGACCGTAGCGAATGTTTCAACTCATGTGATTGCAAGTAAAATAAAAGAGCTTTAGAAAGAGTTCACATTATTTTGTGAGAATCTTATAAATTCTATCAATTGCGAGAACCATGCTTGTTTGTTGGATATTTATAAAGAAATTACAGATATATCCTCAAAGTATTCTAAGATAAGATTAAATTAAAATTGTAAAATAATAATTATTTAGGAGAAAGAGGGTATTTTAAAATAGTGAGAACTGCAACTCATTTCTTGCATTTAGTGATAGTGCAATTATGCTTAATGTCACACACTACACAACATGTGACTATAGAACACACGCGCCGTTTCAGGTAAACATTATTTATATGTTATCGATGATTTTGGTATAAGTAAGAATGAATTGCAAATATCTAAGAAAAATTTTATATAAAATCGATCATTATTTATCAATTATAGAAGTTTATATTTAAAGGATATATATATATAAAATAATCCATGACATTCATATATATTATCAATGTGAAGTATAATTAAAAAAAAACAAAATTTAATCGCTATTGCCTCGTATCATAGCGGATAAGTCTAAATAACAAAAGTTTTATTTTTTGTTTAAAATTGTGTTGGTTATATTGATAACATATGAATGCCATTTAAAAATAAATTTTGAGGTATCTTTTGTGAATGAAGGGTTATAATTATTAAAATGAATAATCGGCTTTATTTTCCCTTGGATTTGCAGTTCTATTATTCCCCTTTACATTATGTTATATGTAAATATTCATTTCGTAAAAATATTTCAAACAATTGCAAATAAGAATAGAGATAGTTAAGTATGGAATAAGTTAATTATAAAACGTTTACATCAGTTTTTGCAGTTATGTTTTATATTTACATCATCTAAGACTATATTATTAAATTGTAACGGTTATATGCATCAGCAATGACTTTGCTAGGAAAGAAAATGGCAAATAATTACGTAATCATCATTCCATTTGGCGGAGATATAAGATAAAAATTGGAAAAACTGTCTTAAAAAACATCGTTACATTTGCAGAATGTGTAGAGATTGAAAGTGCTCATGGACCTAATTTCTATTATATATAGAAGATTTATCAAATATTCCCTTGTTACAGTCGAATAAGACAGAGAAATGCTCGATTATAATTGGTTAGTTCTCTTTGTTGGTTCTGATTTGAATCTTCGGTGGAAATTATACCATAGATTGCTATAAACAGCTTCGTGAAAGAGATCAATTTAGACCCCGATTGCTGGCTATCTGTCCAACTTTAACAACACTTGTTGCTTGTTGCTGTCTTGGTTGCCAGACTATGAACGACCAAGCAACGAAATACATTTTATAATGAACGAAACTATATAGAAACATAACTTCACTTCGATCTTGTCTGAGATCGTTTGCGATTTTGTTGAAGAACTTCATTGATATCAGTTTTAAAAAACTGATATCAATCGTTATCACAAACACACTTAATCGTTATCACAAATAGATGAATTTTAAAGTTAATTTGATATTATAGAAACATATTTGTTACATTTTTAATTGAAGATTTAAATGAAGAACTGCTTGAATAATTTTCTTCTTTTGTATTCTGACACAACTTAAATTTTATTCTTCTCGTTCTTCAATAATTTTTTGAAAAAAAAGATCGTATAATAATTTTTGAGAAAAAAATGGCGCTTATGTTTATTAGCAGGGAATTTTGATAATTGTAACTTGAATTAGAAGAATATCACTCGGCATATCACTCTGAAAGTGACCTAAAAGCTTTTATATTTAAATATTACAATGTTTATATTACATGTTTTTTTCTGAGTAGATATCATCATCTTTGGGGATGCTTTTTATGACCAAGACTGTATCGAATTGAAATTCCTAAAAATACGAACGTAGAATCAGTGATCATACATGTCTTTCAAAATTTAATTTTTCATCACGATGTCGTCATTAAAAATCAAGCGGTGACTTGTTGATCCAAGCAAAACGAAAAATACGTGGGATCCATAAATACTATCAAGTGGTATATTTCTGTACAATGCGATTGCTCAACTGGCCGGTTTGGCCTATTATCTTCACACTGGAATCATTCTCGTAGCAGTCGTGTGCAAAGCTTTTGTTTGAACAATTCGACATGCAGATGAGCACGTAACGAAATTTCGTCGGTCCAATTAAAGTATTCGCTGTCATGTAGAGCAGATTTTGAAGTTATAGTGAGATAAAAAAGTATTGCTGCGTCTTCGTTTTTCATTCACGCGTTTTTTCAGGAAGATTACGCGGTAAAATATTCACTATTACAACAGGACAACGCATGCGATGAATTCATTTTTACACGCATAAATTGCACATAAAATCTTAAACGTGAACTATGTTTGAACCAGCATTTGTATTGTTCGGCGAATTATTAATATATATTTTATGTGTGCTAAAGTATAGCATCACAATAATTTTCTTCTTGACGTGTCCGCAATAAATACAGAATGTTCAAAATAACATTAAAGTCACAATGAGATAAAATCATTGCAGATTAAATATAACTTGACAATAATATTTCACTGATTGTGGATTTTTTAAATTTTATCATCATGTCATTTTGTCATTACCGTAACATTGCGTATTACTCGCATTACACGACGATACAGCTTATCCTGTTTGGAATTTGTAATAAAAAAATGTTTTTTAAAAAAGAATAATATTGTGATTCTTTTTAAATATATTTTTAATATTTTAATTTTTAAAATTTTAACATTAAATGGTATTAAAAAAAACATATTTAAAAATTATTAAAACATATTTTTTTATCTCTGTTGAAAATTAACGAATAGAGAAAAAATTACGTATTAAAACTAAAATTTTATTCCAGATAATATAATGTGGACAAAGATAATTTTATAGATAATTTCAAATAGTCTTATTAATTATATTTAAAAAACAAGTTTTTGTTTAACTTTTTACGTATCAATAAATTTTAAATTTTAAATGCGTGTTCATCTCCTATGCTTTATTTGTGTGTTTCTATTGAGGATTGATGGCCATTTTAACTAATTTAAACTTGCCGATTATGAAATACCTATCTCAAATTAATGCGTATTTAAACCTGTTTGCATGTTCATTTTTTGCATGCGCGGAATGAAATTTTATATATATAGCAAAATAATTGCAATTCTGGAAAAACATATGTATCTATTAGTTTAATAAAATACATCTTTTTTGAGTTTACTTCGCTAATTGAGCTTTTCATTGTTTAATTTGTGCTACAATATAATTAAGCAATCTTACTAAAGGTAAATTATATTTTATAGTTTCTCATTAATTTATTATATTTTCCTGATACTAAGAATAATAATTTATAATTAATCGCATAAATTGTATATACATCGCATATGATAGGAAAGATGTACAAATTTTGAAATAAAATCAATATATGGATATTTTAAATTATCTTTTAATTATGTATTAAATGAAAAAATGTTGTATTTATAAATGATATATATTACAAATTTATTTTTGGAATGATAGGACGATTGAGTTATTTGCGATGCACTTGACATTTAAGATTGCAACAATCTTTCATGTCATGGAAAACTATAATGATAAGATAAAGATAATGATAAGTTAAGAAAAATTGCAATTCTCAATGAGAAATTTTCAATGAGAAAAAAGACAATAGAATCGAATCAATATTGATTCGATATCAAATCGATATTGATTTATCGATTCTATTGTCATTTCTCACTGGATATTTTATTTTCATTTCTCACTTGTATTTTATATCTTATAAATATGCATGCATATAAAATATATCGTTACAATGAAGTCGTGTTAATCGTATGAATACTATCGCTCTGTCGTGTATATTAGGTGTAGTAAAAAGAAATCATTATTTTTCCATTCAATTTCATGCAAAAATAATGGATTTCTTTTTACTACACCTAATATATATAAATTTTTTTGCATGTCGCACTTTGCAGTAACCAGTCCAATGCAAATTTAGACGAACGTTCAACGTATCTTTACGAAACTACAAAGAAAGCGAAATCTACAGATTATTATAAGATAAGATAACTTTTTAAATTTTTTATCATAATTCGTTTATATATAAAGAGAAACTGTAAGAATAGATGGATTAGTTTTTGATCACTTTATTGCATGCTAAACTTTAAAGTCTCAAAATTTAAACAGCTCATGATATCGATGATTCCACGTGAGAGCATATGAATTTAACGTATTTGATAATATCGAACTGATAGAAGAATTAATGAAAGTGACAATGAGTTCGAGCATGCTTTCTTTTGCTTTCTTACTGATAGTTTTAAGTGTAACCCTTTATTTCGGTTCGACTTATGCTTCTACGCAATCACCCAATATTGTCGTTATCATCGCTGATGATCTTGTAAGACATTATCATTGTGTTATCTGTGTAATGAAATAATCTTATTCTTTTGCAGAGTATAAAAACTAAGTAATTTATAATATTTAAGTTAAAAATCTAATCTAAATCTTCCATAAATAACTCAGAACTAACTTTTTACTTTATTTTAATTGGAGAACATTTGTAAATGATTTAATTTTCATGCTTTGTATAATACTGATCATTATATAATATAATATTGATCATTGATAAGTATTCAAAAATATCTGATTTAAACTAAAGTTATTACTTTTGATAATTTCGAAGATTTAAAGCTTTGAAAGAATTCGAATTTTTAACTTCAAATTTTTAAAGTTTTACATGTTCTCGCTTGGCTACAAATTTCTTTACAATATAATAATTACGAAACTAAGTGGTTGCGATAATGTTTTTAAAACTAAAAATGTCCCACTTTTTCTGCTATAGTTTTGAACAAATGTTACAATGACGTTGTGACAATTGTTGTTTATGAAAATTGCTACATTTAAGCTGTGACAACATTACAGGAGACGTTTTAAAGCTCACTTTTGCATCGATTATATAAAATTATACAGTTTAAGATATGTAAAAGCGCTTACTTTCTATATATAATACAGTAGCAAATTATATCTTATTGAAAACAAAAAATTATACTGAAACAAAGCAAGATGCATTTTAAAGCTAAGAATATATACTTTTACATGATATTAATAAAATTTAGAAAAAAGTTACTATCCAGCAGTATTACAACATAAAAATCATCAAAAAAATTTCATTTTTTGCCTTTTTGATAATTTTTCGGAATTCTCATGTTCAGCATCTGAAAAACTATGACAAATGATAATGAACATTTAGTGATCCAAAAATGTAAATTCGCTACTAATGTTACGTAACACATTTTTAAATATATTTTAATTTCGTTAACTAAGGGATGGAACGATGTTAGCTTTCACGGTGCCGATGAAATTCCTACTCCGAATATAGACGCTCTCGCATACAACGGCGTGATATTGAATCGACATTATGTAATGCCGATGTGTACGCCGTCAAGGGTAGCTTTCCTCAGCGGGCGACATCCCTTAAGGACAAGTAAATCATTAATTATTTATTATTGCAAATAAATTTTATGTGTGTGTGTGTGTGTGTGTGTGTGTGTGTGTGTGTGTGTGTGTGTGCGCGCGCGCGTGTGTAAATATTAGATACTAAACTTAGTTTCCGTGGCTCACATTTATGGCTTCAAAAGACTAATCGTTCTATCATCGTGGAATCCATTTATTGCCACAAAAAAATGTGTAGCTAGCGAGGACAAATACTTTGATAGATGTATTTTTGCTTTTGATATCGAGATAAATGAGTTTTTTAAGCAAAAAAACCGCAGAAATTAAGTTTAGTACCTAATAATATGGTGTGCCGTGTCATTTTATTGTGTAGTAAATTACCGCAACAATCTTCTGTTGTATTTCACTTGTCAGCTTAAAATATAAAGATTGTTTGATTTATTTATATTTTATTTATTAATTATTTATTTATTTCCATTTTATTTATTTATATTTATTAATACTAAATTAAAAAGTATTCTAATAAATAATGTTTCAATTTAAGACCATTAAAAATGTTTAATTAAAAGATGCATCAATAGAACATGGATGCAAGATATTTGAAAGTTTATCTTTAAAATATTATTGTTAGTCTTTCCATTATTTGTACAATTTATATTTTTATTAATTCCCATAATCATTATTGTACGTTATAAAATGTGAAAAGACGCCGAAGCTGTTTGGATGAAAAGAAAATTATTGGAATTTAATTTGTGAATTAATTACAACACAGGTATGCAGGGCTATCCCTTGAAAGGAGCTGAACCACGTGGTCTGCACTTGAACGATACTCTTTTACCTGAGTATCTTCGTAAACTCGGATACACTACTCATCTCCTAGGGAAATGGCATGTTGGTTATCTCACGAGAAATTACGTACCCACTCGTCGTGGTTTCGACACTTTCTTGGGATATTTCAATGGCCTTATTCAATACTTCAATCATACACTAATCGAAAACGTAAATTTTCTATAATTAACTATTGTTAGAAAAAAAAAAGATAGTTTTATTATATTGAATTATAGTAGAAAAAAATCGATATATTTTTTCAATCTTTTATTCGATGACGTAATTGTTATAAAATTGTTTGCAACAGAAAATAAAGATTTAATTGGTTTGTCAATTAATGATAAACAATTTTTTCTAATCTTAAAAAATATATATCGACATCAACTAAAAGTAACATAATATTTATGTTATAATTTTGCATTTAATTTAATTTGTTTAAGACAATGAAAGAAAAGAAGAAAATTATTATTTATCGTCAATTGATAGAACATGTATTATCTGTTGCAAGCGATTTTATAACAATTACATTAATTATCGAATAGAAAATACATCGATATTTAGTTGATACCAACACTACTAATTAAGATGTTATATATAGCTTTGGCCATAAGTTTATAACAGCTTCAAAAATTGATATAAATATTCTACATTTAAAAAAAAAATTAAAAACAGTTTTATTAGAAAATAATGTTTACTTTTATTATTTAAATATTTTATTAGTTCTCTGTAACTTTTGTTATCGTCAGCACTTTTTCATCGGAATAAATTGAGAAGATTTGTACTTTTGAGTAGATTTGTACTTATATACTCAAGATTATATAATAATGTTAAGTAATATACGTTATTTAATACGCTGAATGACATTTTGCAGGAACAAGTAGGCTATGATTTGCACCGTATCGTAGGTGACAATCACACAATTGAATATAGATATGACTACATGACTAATCTTATAACCGAGGAGGCTGAAAATATTATTTTATCGCATAATACTGAGAGGCCCATGTATCTGCAACTAGCACATCTCGCTTCACATGCTAGTAATGCTGAAGAAATTATGGAAGTTTACGACTGGAAAGAAACGAATGCCACTCTCGGCTACATTCAAGACATAAACAGAAGAAAGTTCGCGAGTAAGTACAAATTTCTTTTATTAAAAGTGTCGTTAACAGTACATACATTTTATGAGAAATAAAAAATTGCGTCTTAATAGTGATTATGAATGGTTCCTAAAAACTCGTTTCGTATTTTTACACTCAATTCTGTTGATAGCAAATATTTTGTTGTTACAGCGAATTTCGTTAATTGTTGTATGAACAACAAACAAACAGATTGTTTAAAAAAATCTAATCTTTTATTTCCTTAGTTTTGGAACGAATCAAATAGTTTTCTTTTTTAATAAATTTAATTTATTTTGTTGTAATGCATTGTTTATGTAGTATTTATTACATAAAATCAAAGTTACAAAGATTAAGAATCTGCAATAAAATTTGATAGAATTTCTTCTTGACTCTTTTTTTAGGTGTCGTTGCTACATTAGATAAATCTATCGGTCGGGTGGTTGATGCTCTAAACAAGAAAGATATGTTAAAGAACACAATCATACTTTTTATAAGTGATAATGGAGCACAGACCGAAGGTCCATTATATCAAAATTTTGGATCTAATTATCCATTACGGGGGGTAATTACAGCTTTGTTCAAATTGACATTACAACTGTATAGTAGAAATGTATAATTTCAAATAAAATGATGTATTTATAGTTTTTAAAAAAATGAAACAATGCATTTGCAGTTGAAAAGCTCGTTGTATGAAGGAGGTGTTCGAGGTGCCGCGTGCATTTACTCACCCTTGATTGAGAACTCGTCGAGAGTCTTAACGCAATTATTTCACATTACCGATTGGCTACCCACGCTATACTCCGCGGCTGGCGGTAATTCAAGCGATTTATACCAATTGGATGGTATTGACCAGTGGTCCACGATCAAAACACAAAAAGCTAGCAAACGAAAATCGGTTGTCATAAATATCGAGGACATTGACTACAGTGCTGCATTAATGGGACGTTACAAACTCGTTCAAGGTATATATTTTTTTTATCATTTAATTTTATTGTAAATTTTCTTTCTCTTTCTCTTTTTCTCTCTGATTTCATAAAAAATTCGATTTAAAAATACGTGATTAATACAAATGAATTCTGTTTCTTTTTTCTTATACAGATAAGTCCGACTTTCAGAAGCATTATATTGACTATAAAGGTAATGATCCGTCGTATCCCAAATACAACGTGACAAATGTATTAGAGTCACCAGCCGCATCGGCCATAGCAAATGTTTCAAATCATGTAGTAACTGCAAGTAAAATAGAAGAGCTCCGAAAAGAGGCCACGGTAGTTTGCGAGAATCTTACGACCTCCGATTGCGAGAATCGCACTTGCTTGTTCGATATCTATGAAGATCCTTGCGAAGTTATAGATATATCCTCGCAGTATCCTGAGGTGAGATTAAATCAAAATCGCAAGGTAAAAAACATTTGGGGAAAAATAAGGGAATTACGAACACGAGGTAACTATTGCGGACAATACATACTATTGCGATATATTGG